TTTTAACAATGAGTTAACTGAGGCTTGGGGTAAGAAAGAACTAAATACATATTGACCCTGAACTATGGAATGGAATATCTGATTACTAATAGAAGAGAAAAAATATATGTATTTGAAGCTTTGAGGGCGACTGTCATAGAGAAAGAGAAAATGTTGATAATAATTAAGATATAAGTATAACCCCATAAACCAAATTTTTTCGCATGTAAAAGCTTGGCACATCTCATCCATCTCACTGCTTAAAAAGCCATATTATAGTTCATGACAGGAAAGGAGACAAGAAGATAACAAAGAGTCATAAAACAAAAGATTCCAAGATTGCAGTAGCCCTGGTGGATGGATGAAGTTCTTCCTGTGGAATTTTCCAATATAACCAAGTGATTTTGGGTCCCATAGCCAGTGTTTGCCCTTGAGATTGGACTAGGAGGAGTTAGAAACATGTTTCATAGTCTGTATTAGCTGTCCCTAATTTTATTAATTACCCCTATTATTAATTATTATTAACTGTGAATTTGGGGGATGTTACTTAACTATCTGAGATTGTTTTCTTATTTAAAAGAAATGTAGAGTCTGGGTGTGGTGGTTCACTCTTGTAATCCCAGCACTATGGGAGGAGAGGTGAGAGGATCACTTGAGGCCAGGAGTTCAAGACCAGCCAGGGCAATATAGCGAGAACCCTATCTCTAGAAAAACTAGCTGGGCTTAGTGGTGTGTGCCTGCAGTCCCAGCTATGCTGGAGGCTGAGGCAGGAGGATCACTTGAGCGCAGGAATTTAAGGTTGCAGTGAGCTATGGTGATGGTACTGCACTCTACCCAGAGTGACAGAGCGAGACTCTCTCAAAAAGAGAAAGAAAGAAAAATAAAAAGATGAAAAGAAATAAATATAGATTAAAAGAATAACTATCTCAATAAACTATAGTTATTATTATTGAAATTTGACTATTCATAGCTTGCTCAAGCCAAGAGAAATGTATCTTCTACCTTTTCTATTTCCATTCAGTAGATTCTTTTATCTCTTTCAAAAAGGCAGAAGTCTTAAAATTCCAAGTCATATTTAGCTATAGTTTGGAACTGCCCCCCAAGCAGATTTAGGTCAATTCCTAATGTTTTACAAAAACAATTATTCTGGCGATTGCTATCAATGCCTGGCTCCCACTCCTCTCCTTCTTGCACTCACTTCTCATGTTCATGCCTCTTCTTTGCCCTATTCCCTCCCCTCAGTGGCACAGGTTCACTGTGGTTTTCAACATATTCAGGTATAAAAATGTTTTATTGCTGTCATCTGTTTGTTTTGGTGGTGTGGAATCCTCCCTTTCAAAGAAAATCTTATGCAAAGGACTAATATCATGAAGTGGACTAGTGCAGATCTGCTCTCTTTGATATGGGGGGATGTTTGCTCCCACAGCCTCTCCACTTTGATTATTTTCTTCTGAATTTCAGGGGAGCCCTCAGGGGTTTTCAAAGAGGCTTAAGATTTCAATGAATGCATCTTAAGAACCCCTGGTCCACATGAACAAGATAACAAGGTTGATGTTCCCATTCTCAGGGGGTGTGTAGAAACTGTCCTGGCTGAGCTAGGCAGAGAGTTGAGGGGCGGACTTTTACGTGTCTCTCCTCAGGACCCACAGAAACGCATGAGATAAAGTTCTCCAGCCTGGGTCTGGCTGGACAGGACTCTAAACATCTCTGAAGAACCAGAGCATGCAATTTAGTCACCCATATGTCCCTAAATATTTTGATACCTTGGTATTTTGACATCACCCCAATGGTCCAGCCATACAATCGCCCTACCAAATGGGAAACACATTTTCCATCGCCATGCCTTTGTACTCACAGTTTCCTCCTCCTGGAATAATGCCCACCCTTCCATTTCTGCCTAGCTGTCTGACTCACTTGTCCTCCAAGGCCTTCTCCATGAGCTCCTCCCCAACTCCTGGGGCCAGAATTCTTCTTTTGTGTGTTTGTTCATGTTTGCCTCCGCCACATTCTCCTCTGTCTCCCTCACATTTCCATCTTGCCTGGGGTAAGCATCTTGGGCAGAGCAGACAGGAGAAATGCTCGCTGACTCGCACTAAATGGATGCTGTGTTGATGGAGCCATGGGTCAGCGGCAGCCTGCGTTGTGCACTTGGCATTGCTTCATTAGACAGCAGTGCGCCCTGCTAGGCCAGACCAGGGAAGGATCATTTCCAAAGAAAAACCAAACCTTTTTATTTTTAATTTCCTTCCCTTTGGGTGTTCAATGGAAATAGGCAAGATAGAATCATTCGGTTTACTTCTATAACAGCCCTATTTTTCATCCCAATTCTGAGCTTCAGCTAGAGTCTGTGAAATGTCTTCTTTGAGTGAGACGATTTTCATCTTGGTTGTCAGTGACTATAATGAATTCTCAACCAACTGTTTTTTTTTTTGTTTGTTTTTTGTTTTTCTTCAAAAGTCAAGTTATCTGGTTTGGGTGACTCCTATCTATTCATGATGCGGCAAATTTTTTCAAACCTAATATTTCTTAGGCAAAACTATTTTGGATTTAATGCCGTTTATTTACTGAGAACCATATCACATCCAGTGCTAAGCATTAAGACAGATACAAAGATAAATACCATGTCCTCACGAACAAGAAGGAGCCCTCGTCCTCAAGTATCTAATCAAGTACGAGACAAGACATGCTGGACCATAACTAACTAGAAACATTCTTTTGTTGTTTATATCTAGTTTCGTGTTAGGAATTTATGGCATCTTGCAAAGAAACACACAATAAGAGAAAAAACAAAGACTTAGAAGTGAGGAAGAAAGATCAGGCAAAGGGAAAACAAGGACAAGGAGAGCCAGTACTGAGGCCAGTTCACAAAATATCCCCCTCCCCCCCCGAAACTGCTGGAAAGCAGGGGCTTCTCTACTGTGTGCTCAAAGGCGCTCCCAGTGGCTAGCATAGTACCTGGCACACAGCCAGCAGTCCATAAACAGAACAAAGGGGCATGTCTTCCATTTTAGATTATGTAGCAACTCTATTAACTACAACAAAACCATATTTGGAGAACCCAAAATTTGAGGCCACCTTTTCTGGACTAGACCACGTTGAAATGTTAGAAGCTGGAGACCCTGCTGCCCCGTCTTCCAACCTGGGATGAATGCGCTTTAAGAAAGAGGATGGAGGAATATGTACTGCAGTCTTGTGTAGGTCTGGTAGCTATAACTTTTCTAAAGTATTTCTCTTTAATTTCATCATTATCATATATATATATTTAATAGGTAGTGTTTTTCTTCCCATGTTTATGGTTTTCACCTTTCCAACTGAAGACGTAGAGATCAGGAACCAGACCCCTTCATCTTTGCACCTTTTTCCTGCTTCTTGAGCACATGGTGTAATATCTTGGATATGGTGGGCACTTAATAACGACTTTTTAAATTCTTTTTCTTTTGGACATCAAGTGCTAGCTCAGTTTGAGTCGGGACTGTATTGTGCAAATGATGGCCTGCTGCAAGGCTTCACTTACATATCGACAGCTGGTAGGGTTCAAAAAGCCAGTGTGAAGAAAACATACATCAATGTGCACCTGGGCGGCTGTCTTTTCATTTTACCAACCGGAATTCATTGTTTGCCAACCTGATTCTAGACTTTTGTGATACCACATTGAAGGAACGGGGCTGTGACACACAAGGCGAGGGCTAAGTGGGATGGGGGTGGGACGCAGGGCTTGATGAGCAGTGGAGAGAGAGGAGCTTTTAAGCAGCCAATTCTATTCTATTAAGAATAGAAGAGGCAAGGGGATTTTAAAAAGTAATAGCATGCATTACAAACTGGATCTTTTAAAAATGCTCTCTAAGAGAGACAAATAAAGTTGGACATATATTTTTAAACTATTATTAATTTTGCTGCCTGTCCCATGTTTGTTTAATGAGAAACCACACTAGTACTGAATAGCATGTGAGCAGTGAATTATTCAGGTTACAACAAGTGATATATTTTTACTTCAAAATACACACTCTTGGTTATACCAGTCATTAGGAAATCATGTAACCAGGGAGAAGCAGAACAGGGCAAAACTCTTCATGCATTTCTTTGATTTAAAAGATCAAATGTAATCTGAAAACCTAAAAAGAGAGAAATTTCATTAGTCAATTTAAAGAGCAATAAGAAAGTATTTTCACTTTATAAATTAGCAAATTTTTTGAAAAGTATGGATATGTATAAAGTGGATTCTGTTACAAATATTTAATGCCCAACCAAAAATAATTTAAAACACATATGTTACTGATGGAATTATAAATTGAACCAGAGTTTCTAGAAAATAATCTGGCAATGTATATTAAGAGACTTAAAACTGTATATACCCTTTGGTGGAGTAATTATCCTAAAGTAATAATCAAACATGAGACAGAATATGAAATATTATACAGCCATCAAGACTCAGGTTTTAATGAATATGTAAAGAAAGTAAATACATATATGTGTGTGAGTCAGTATATATATTATGACTTCAATTTTGTAAAAATATGCATCCTCATACAACCACACAGACAAAAGCCTGGAAGGAAATGCTCCAACTGTCAGGTTTTATTGGACTGTTAAAATATGGGTGAGTTGTTTTGTTTTTTACCCAGCTTTTTAAAATAAAATTTGTATGAGTAGGTATGGCTTTAATAATGTGACAAAAATAAACATAACATTTTTGTGGGGACAAAAACCTAGTTTATAACTTAAGCCAGTCTCATTCACCCTGTCTAACAAAGGATCCTGTTAAATTTTCTCCCCCCCCCAAAAAAAACTTGAAATGTAGACCTATCAAATAGATTTGTCACTGTCTCTTCAAAGGAGGAAATTCTGTTTCAAATTCATCCTTAGCCCAAAGCAGCTAATTTGATTTTATCAGTCATCAGCAAAGCCCTTACATTAAATAATGTATGAATTTTTTTAGCTTCATCCCTACAGGGCAAGATTCAGTGCTTAATGGAAACCATCACTGTTGGATTGCTAAAGCTCTTCTAACATGTTGGCTTGGAGAAGCCTCAAGCCTGAAGCATTGAACGTCACCTAGAGCCTGTTCATTTGATCTGACAGCACTAGAGAGGAATGCAGAGGCAGAAACACGGTGAGGAAATCGCGATGCACACGTATCCGTCCTGGGATAGGCAGCCCAGGGCAAAGACTCCAGGACGCAGGTGGCAAAGGCAGGTGCAAAGATGATTCTACAATGGGTTTCCACAGATGGGATTTTTTCATGAAAACTTATCTAATTGTCAGCTCCAAAGTACCGCCTCTCCTGGACTTCAGTGTTCCCAGGTCAGCCTCCTTCTCCCAGGCATCTATTGCCTGGAAAAGGCCTTGAGTATCTGCTTTGCATTAATGTTAACAGGGTGACTCACCATCAGCCTTATCCAAAATCAACCCGGGAGTCAATCTCTGCACCTCTTCACATTGCTTTCCTTCTGGTGCTGATGTTACAATGGAATTTAATTTGTTCTTCATGAAAGGCCTTTCCATCACTGAATTTCTCAGGAAGTTCTGACACTTGGTATTTATTCCCCTGACAGGTTGGTTTTGAGGATGAATGAGATATGGCTTGTCAGGTGCTTTGAAAACAGATCTCCTGGCAGCAGGGGAGCAGCTATGAGTGCCCTGGCTCTGTTCAGGATCCAGCATGGTTCTGAGACAAGTATGACACATGTGGTGCCATTTTATTTTTAGCAGTATCATCTCGGTTTCATGTGTGTTCATGAGAGTAACATCAGCAAGCACACTGGAAGGATGCTAGTAGAAGCACAGGGGCCACAGGCGTTCAGGTAGTGGTCTTTAGTAAGAGAGATGATTCGTGAGATGCTGGGATAAAATACCTCTGTACAGAGATGGTAGAAAGGAAAAGGTCCAGTAGACTCCATAAGGAGTCATCTCTTGGGGTCACCTGCAGCCTATTCATTAATATATGGGCTTCTTCACTGTGCTGAACTTTCATCAATTCAACTAATATTAGCGTACACTAACTTTTATATTTCATTACAACCCAAGGAAGTAAATAATGTTGTTAATCCCCATTTCACAGACAGGGGGACCGAAAGAGGTTAAAGAACTTGCCGAAGTCACATGGCTGGAACACAGAAGAGCTGAGTTTTGAGGTCAGTACTCTATGATTCTAGCTTTCTCATGGTCAATGTAAGAAATGTCAAGTGTTACGGGTAACAGAAAGGAAATGCAAGGCACAGTCTATGACAAGAAATGCCTATATGCAGATGGGAAGAAACAAAATGAATTATTCTTGGGGTTGGGAAGTGTGGTGATTGCAGAAAAATGTCCCTGAGAAACAAGTACAACAAAGGCACCTGAGATGTGAGTGTGAAAACTGCTCTCGAAATAAAACAGTCAGAATAATGCAATTTGCCCATTCACCAGGAAGTATAGAAGTAAAGAGGGTGAAATGTAACCTTCCATGACCTTTTTCTAGCTAGGAGAGGCAGAGAGAGAGGGCAGGCCACAACCTCATGAACAGCCCACCTCTGATACCATGCACCAAAGTCATGCTGTACACAGAACAATCTGAATATAGATCCCCCAAATATAGACTTTTTATTATAGAAATTCTCAAATTTTAGGCGTCTTACAGGTGTTCCTCAAATTGACAGTCTGTCCAGACTTCCCTTCAGTTTGGCCACTGTTGATGGGACATGATCCATCAACTATTACTATTTGTGTGTTCTAGCTGTTGAAGCTTGGCAACATCGACGTGCTCACCCCCACTTGCTACAGCTTCACCCAGGGAGACTAGCCCAGGGCACATGTTTTCAGTTTACATCATGTCTCACTCATCCATTCATATAGGGCAGAAACAAAGAGATGGAGGATGCCTTATTCCTGATCTCCTCCTCCTCTTCCTCTTTTTTACCTTACCTGTGCCATGGATCTGTGCCAGGTAGGTACGTAACTTGTGTTCCCTGGTGGGCTGAGCTTCCTGTCAGTCTTACCCAAATATACCTGGCTAGTATGGCTGGTACTCCAAGTGAGTAGCATTCCCTCACTTACACACCTGTGCAGAATCTTTCTCCAGCTTTAGCGTGCATCTGGGTCCATGGCAGCTTGTAAAAGATGGGCTGAGTGGACCCCAGGGATCTCACTTCTAATAGGGTTCCCAGGTGACTCTGCAGCAACAGTCTCTTTGATTCACTCGATGGAAGAGTGACACGATGGTTAGGAAAGTGGCTTTTAAATCAAAGAGAAGTGGATTCGCTTTGCATTATTCTCACTATTTTATTTCGAGAGCAGTTTTCACACTCATATCTCGGGTGCCTTTGTTGTACTTGTCTCTCGGGGACATTTTTCTGCAACCACCACACTTCCCAACCCCAGGAATAATTCGTTTTGTTTCTTCCCATCTGCACATAGGCATTTCTTATCATAGACTGTGCCTTGCGTTTCCTTTCTGTTACCCGTAACACTTGACATTTCTTACATTGACCATGAGAAAGCTAGAATCATAGAGTACTGACCTCAAAACTCAGCTCTTCTGCTTTCCAGCCATGTGACTTCGGCAAGTTCTTTAATCTCTTTTGGTCTCCTTGTTTGTGAAATGTGGATTAACAACATTATTTACCTTTTTGGGTTGTAAAGAAACATAAAAGTTAGTGTACTACGCTAATATTAGTTGAATTGATGAAAGTTCAGCACAGTGCAGAAGCCCATATGTTAATGAATTATTTGCAATATTTTCATTTAATACAATAGGTGTTTGTTCAACTTTTACTACACTTATGATTGCTTTCAAATCAGGGAAATTGGAGACATTTTTTTCCCCAATTTCTCCCCAGACAGAAGTGTCTTTAGCTTGCATTAACATTTCCTCTTTGCCTTAATGTCTCCATTTGGATCGTTGTAAGTTGTTTTTATCTTCTCTTATAGCTTTTCCTTTAAGTTATTTTGCTAATATTTTGTTGTTGTTGTTATTTTCCCTCCCAATCCAGAACATCCCAACTCTTGCCACAGGTGCTAGAACGAAAACAGGAACCTTTCATAAGCAAACGACTGGTACGTACAATGTACACACTACTCTTTCAACGAAATGGCACCCAGCTAGGGTCTTCTTCTAACAGGGAGGTAAAGCAGCCACATTCTGGGTGAGAAACAAATAGCTCCACCTAAATTCAAGTTGAATTTTCTCTCTCCCAGGTTCATAAATGTTGTCTACCACTTTCTTTTTTGTTTTCCTGTCCTTATGTAATTTCCCCCTTTTTTCAAGTTTACCTTCTCTATTGATTTAAATTAAGCTTGGTTGGTGTTTCTTTGAAAAGAAAACACAAGCTTGCTGGTTTGGGAGGTTTTTCCAAGGCCTCTCTGCTCTAGTAAAATCCTACGTACGTAGGTCCTGCAAACCAACATTATTTTTGCTGTAAAAACACCACGTGCATGTTCTGAGACGTGAGCCCTCTGTGTAAGATCCCTTCACACATGCAGAAACAGCTGACATTTCAGCACTTGCGCAGAGTGAAAGCAAAAGGATCCTGGTTCAGAAAGGTCAGGGCTGTCCTGCCCGGGCTGGGCGTGGCTTCCTGTGACCTTCAGCTCTAGCAAGAGCAAAATGCAGGAAGTGCTCCAATTTTATATTTCCTCATACAAAGTCCATTCCCAAAGATGCCTCTCAAATTTGAATTCCCCCAATGGAACAATGTATTCATTTTTTATTGTTAAGGAGTGACATTATTGCAAACTTAGTGGCTTAAAACAACACATTTATTATCTCACTGTACTGTGTGTTAGGAGTTCAGTCATGGCTCCCCTGGGTCCTCTGCTTGGAGTCTCACAAGACTTCAGTCAAGGTTTTGGCTGGGGCTGAGGTCTCATCTGAGGCTTGACTGGATAAGGATCCCTTTCAGAGCTCACTCAGGTTGTTGGCAGAATTCAGCTCCTTGCACTTGAGGACTGAGAGCTTCTCTAGGCTGCTCCACAGTTCCTTGCTGCATGACATTCCTGATATGGTCTCTTGATACCTCAAAGCTAGCAAGGGAGAGAGAGGGGAAGGGAAAAGGAGAGATAAAGAGAGCAAGAGTAAGACAGGTGCTACAACCCAATGTATCATCACGTAGTCATGTACACATACCAATATCCGTCCTGCCATCTTTACTGTGTTCTATAGATTAGAAGCAAGTCATGAGTCCTGCCCCCAGCCAGGACAGAGGATCACACAGTGCACAAACTCCAGAAGCAAAAATTGTGGGTATGCCACCATAAGAATCTATTAGCCACAAAAATGTTTCTTCTTTCTTAGTTTCTTATTACCATTAGTCTTAAAAGATGGAGAAAAAGTTCACCATGTGCTTGAATCTAGGTGTGGCCCAAAGATTTTGATAAAATATCAGGTCCTGTTGACTAATTTTCCTGCTAACATGCAGCACAAAACCCTTCTTCTGAAATTCTTCATATATCATTGTCTTAATTAAACAAAATACAAACTTTGATGTTTATGTCTCTGGCTACACAATCAACATATTAGTTCCATTCCATGTGCTCAAGGTCATTTTAAGATGATTGAGTTTCAGCCCTGGAATTGTTTCCTGAAGAAGGGACTTGGTAAGTGACCCTGGGTTTCCAGTTGAGTTCCCAAAATTGTACACCGGTGAGATCATCAGTGCATACATTGTCATAGGACTTCCGCTTTCCCTGAGTTTTGTACCTTCATTAGTGCCGTGATACTTAATTTTTTCCCTGGAGTCAATCACTAAGCAATACTGCGCACATGCTAGAAGTACAGTACCCCGCTGAGTGTGTTGGAGCTGTACCAAAAGGTAGAGCGCATGCTGACTGCTGGTGCAGAGCTTATGTGAGTTTAATGAGATGCAACATCAACAGCATATGGGACCATAAAGCGTAGCAGGCTCTGGAGTCAGACCACCTGGGTTACAAAAGCTTTTCTGCTGCTTGCCTGTTGCATAATCTGTTATATAACCTTGGGCAAGTGACCTAAGCTCACTGAGTCTCAGTTTCTCTTTAAAATGGGGATATTAATAATATCCACACCCTGGGTTGCAGTAATAATTACATATGAAGTGCTCAGCGGAGTGTTAGGCAATACTGCCATGTGACAAAGTTGCAGGGAAACTCATTCAGGTACAGCACAAAGGAACTTTTATCTCCTGGGGTTGTGTAATAAAGTACCCTGAGTAGGTGCTTAATAAATGTTCTTGCCTCCCTCTGCTATTAAAATTATTACAAGTGAAATAGCAAGCCCAAATATTTGACAGGGAAATGTACAATTAATTTCTATCTGAATTGTGTACAATCATTGTCACTTTCTTTTTTCCTGGTCACTTGAGCCCACAAGATTTTTCTGTATTATAGTCGTTGTGCTCCGTTTCTGTCTTCACCACCCCCCACCCCCCCGCTTCTGTTCTCCTGGCTGGCTGGCTGGCCTGCCTCATACTTCAGTCTCTGCCTGAATGGCCCATCCTCCAAAAGTCTTCCCTGACCTTTCTATCTAGAGCCATTTGCCTTCCCAACAATCACTGTCTGTCACTTCTCTCTAGTTTATACTCGTCATTGCACTGGTTTCTAATTTTGTTTATATTTCTAACTTTTACTGTCTGCTTCCCTAACGAGAATGCAGGCTACACGAGAGCAGGGATTTTGTCCCATCTTGAACAGGCGATATTTTCATCTCTTAGCACAGGGCTTGGAACATAATAAGCACTCCAGAAAGACATGAATGAGTGCGAGAATGAGTGGAAACCCATTTTGGTTGCATCTTCAGAGAAAGCCTTGTGGAAGAGGTGAGCTTTTTCTCAACAAAATGAAAAGAGAAGCTGTCAGAGACAGAGAGAGAGACAGAATGAAAGAGACAATGAGACCTATGGTCACAGCGCAGGAGATGCACTTAGGGAACAAAGGTTTGACCCTTTTCCTGAATAGCAGACTCTGAGCTAGGAGGAATTTTGAGGACTTAACCTGTACCGTCTAAGGTGTATATCTGATTTACAGATTAAAAGATAATGATGCCTGGCCAATAGGGCTTTGTGATAAATAAATTAATAAGGTAGCTGAAAGTCTTCTGTCAACTATGTAAATCATCGTAAGGATATAAGTAGTTACTTCCATGCTTGGAGATCACAAGGAATAAAATTTATCCTTTTTTTAAAGACTTCTATGAAAAGGAAGAAACATTTCAGATTACATAAGAATATAGCATCTCAATCCATTCTCTTTGTAAAACATTCTAGAGAAAGTTAAATTTCTCTTGATGACCGTCTCCAATCCCAGTCCTTCTACAGAGGTAAACATTGCGGTCAATAAGTTGTGTAATTATTTTTAACTTTACAAATTTTGTACAATTACAGATTACTATAAATGTAATCTTAAGAAATATTAAGAAATATTAATACTTATTATTAATATTATACTCAAATATTTCTAAAACCTGCATTAAACGCAGGGTGGGTTAGTCCCTGGATATATTTCTCTATGTTTTCCATTATTGAAGCCCGACTTAATTTAATTAATTAGCTCTTGAGATTAATTTTAGGTCATTTACACCGAGATACCATATTTTGTCCACAATAAAATACTAATTTAAGAATTCTTGTGAATTTCTGGGTGTCTATCCTAAGGAAATAATCATGTAAATAGCAATAATTTATATATAAAGATATTTTTCATAGCATTGTTTATAATGATGAAAGATAAAGCGATGCAAATGTCAAAAAAAGAAATGAATCATTAAATAAACAACCAGAAAACTAGAACATTATAAAGCCATCAAAACTGGTATCTACAAAATTTGTTTTAATGTATGAGAATGTGTTCATAATATAATGTCAAATATTAAAAGGAGCCTATAAAACTTAAATGCTCATGATCTCATCAAAGTATGTTTAAATAGAAACAAGACTGAAAGATCCTATGTTTGAGTCTTAACAGTGGTTATTTCTGGGTGGCAGATTATGAATAATTTTTGTTTTAATCTTTCAATTTCATTTTCCAAATGTTTCCAAAAAGCACCTAATAGGTTTGTATTTGAGTTGAATTTTTAATCAAAGTAATATATGCATGTAGTTTAAAAAGTCAAATAGCACCACAAGCCTTTAAGATAAAAACAGCAGTCCTCTGCAGCTCCCCTCCTCATCGCTGAATTATACTTCCCAGAAAAATGATTTATTCCGATGTTCAAAATCATATAATTATACTGCTATGCCTTGATTTTTTCAGTTTTAGGTACTATTGATTGACTTTCTAGAATTGAAAGAGATTGAGTTCTCCTTCCACCTTCACACTGTGCTATATATGTAATTCTCTCCGCTTCTCAACATAGTAATATAATAATGTGCTGTTAAATAAATTTTTATTTTATAATTGTAAGTGCTGTTAATTTATGACATACATGGTATGGCATGATCATGCAACTTTTTCTATACAACTTTTTGTTTTTCCTAGAATTGATAATTGCCTTACTTTTTCCTACCTTTAGATTACTATCTACCTAGCAATAATTCATCTCCAAACTTTTCAAGAGAACTATTTATCTTCTGTCAATATGGCCATGCACATCAGCACTGCTAAATTGTTGTCTTATTCTCCAGTGTTGCTTTTAGAAGATCAACGCTGGCTTCAGGCAGATGGGAGGGGGAGAAGGGAACGGTAGATACAGACATAATGAGTGTGATGCGCACCATCTGGGGGATGGACATGTTGGAACTCTAATTCTTTACACAAGACTCATTTTTCTCCTCATAGGCTTTTAGAATGTTTTCTTCATTGTGGTGTTCTGCAATTTTATGATAATGTGCCTAGTTGTGGATAATTTTGTATTCATTTTGCTGGATACTTGATGTCTCTTTCAATCTGAAAATTCATCACCTATAGATCTAAGAAAGTTTTCTTATTATTGTTTGGAAAGTTTTGTCCTCTCATTTCTCTCATGAACAGGTATTTAGATTCTTTTGTCTAGTAGGTTGATTTAGTTTAGCCTTGTTTTTACTGTTACAGAAATTCTACAACAAACATCATGGGCATACTTCCTTGTGCTCATTTGTTAATTTTTCTGTGCTAGAAATACTAAACACTAAATACTGAGATGCAAAGAAGTGTGCTATGTCATAGGATATGTGCATTTTCAAATTTCATGCATGAAATGCATGCTTCTAATATGGAAAAAAGTCCCCACATAATTGTATAATTTTTTTCGGTGCTTCATCACAATATATTCATATCCCAGTGTCACATTTGCTTTTCATAATGTTCACACCTTCATTTTTAATGCCGTCCTCAAGCCAGTTTCTGACTCTTTCTTCTATGGAAGAAGGAGGCAGAGCCAGCTCATAATCCTAGCTCCACCACTTCCTGAGCAGCAAGAACCTCTCCAAACTTTCATGTGTAAAATGGAAATAACACCCACTCTGCAGTGCTACTTAAGGGTTAAATGAGACGCATCTAGTATAGTGGCTACCAAACAAAAGATACTAAAAAATATGAACTCCTTCTCCTTAATTATCAATGTGCTGCATTTGGAGATAATGGAATTAACAGATGTGGTTCAGAGATGCAACTTAAGTCCACACCATAACTGTAACCGCAACGATCCAGATCCAAGTCTACACGTGGAAATCCAGAAATTCCCCACAGCTCAGCTAAGACGCACTGTCAACCCTCTCTCTAGGAACAGGGCCTGGGCAAGTCGCTTTACAGTTGGCGTCCACTTTGCATGTTCTGGCACCCGCCTACCCACCTGGAGAGTCTTAGGATTGTTCCCCTTGTACTTTAATGGAACTCTGTATAATTTAGATCCAGAATTGGGGGCCACGGCAAGGGAGAACAGCTTCTATTCTGTAATTCCTTTCTCTGTTTCAGTATCCAATCCCTTTTCATGAAACCTCATGGCATAACATGTCAGTTAGCTAGATGATATTGCGTATTTGACTGTATCCCAGCTCAGATAACAGTTACTTACTGAGCACATGCTATTTTGAAGGTACTTTGGCATGCTCTCAGGGGGACACATCTTTCAGGAAGGCATGACCCTCAAAGAGCTAACAGCACACAACGTGTCAAGAACTAGGTTCATAACAAACAACCAGAACAATGAGGTCAGATGTCTAAGTGCCTGATAACCAAGGGAGTCCCTGAGGAGTGTTAGTGTCACAGCATGGCGGGAAGGGAGGTGGACAAGAAGGATATCTGTGTGGCTGGACCCTCTCTGAGGACAACACAGAGCAATGACAAAGTCTTGGCTCTGGGACCAGGCAGACATGAGTTGAACCCAATTCCTCCCGTCTGACCTTGAGCTGTGGGTGCAGTCTCCATTTCCACACCCACAGGGAGTGAAGCAATAATACCATCCTAACAGTTGAATGTATAGGGCATACAGCATGTGCCACAAAAATGTTTTAGTGCTAACCTGGCTTTGTAAACGTCAGTCTCCTTCCTTCCTTTCCCCGTTCCTTTCTTCCTTCCCTCCCCTCTTTATGACATTGAATGGCATGAAGATTTAGCTGCACGGTCTTCTAAAGACCAGCCTGTGCTATACCTCTGGCTCTCTGTTCCACACTGCTGGCAGGGGATGAAGTGGAGAGAAGACAGTCCACACCGTCTTCTCTTAAGTCCACACCATAACTGTAACCGCAACGATCCCTACCAGACCCAAGAGGCATCTTGCCTCTGCTCATCGTTCACAACTCTGCATCTCTCCCTTGGCTTTATCACTGCAGAATGTTCACATGGGGTCCACCGAAGAAGCCAGCTGCCCTAGTCCCATGCCATACTTCCATTAGTGACTATCATAGATTCCCCCATGCTGAGGGGTCCCCTCTGCCCCCCTGATATAAACAGGCCAAGCCAGAGCAATTTCTGTAGGAGTTCTAGGAGAGGTCATAGGTCAGGATACACAGTGAAGAGAGGTTCCTGGGGAGAACATTCAGGGCTTCTCAGGCTCCCGCACGACACTGATGGGAAGCTCCGAGCATGTGCCTTGGGCTGCCTATCTCTGCACTCCTGTGCGTGTTCCTGGCCCCTTCCCCACCCTGAGTTATTCCTCCTTCAGCCTTCTCCCCAGTGAAGCTGGATGTGAGATTGGGTTTTGGTAACTCAAGGGGATTCTTACTCTTAACAAAAAACCATGACAGTTCTTTATATAGGTTTTCCAGGAACTGACCAACATTCTTTTGCTAATAAACTTCTTGACCACAGCTGGTTCTGTGCAGGTGCGCATCTTTAAACAATGTACTGGCAGCTCAAAGTGGGCTTAAACCAAATTCCACACAAGCAAGAATAGTTTCACACACCAAGATCATTCTGTCGTTTGTCCTCTGCTTTGTGGAGGACGAAAGGCATTCAGAACCTCTAGCTGAGATTGTGTTGATAAATCACACTCACACAAAAGGGCGATTAAATTATCACAATTAAAGCCCACTCCAGTTCCTCCCAATCCTTCACCTTACTCTCAAGGCAAAGAGAGGGAGAAAAGGAGGAAGACACAAATCATGCTGATCCATCGATCTGTTTCCGGGCAGGCGTGCTAGCAGAAAGGCCGGCCTGTCTCACTGCCATGTACAGGACCTGTGAAATCTGAGTGTGATCTTCAATCTGATAAAATGTCATGGCTGAGCCCACCACCCACTCACAAAGAAAAACGTGTTCATCTAGATATGTCTCCAGAAGCTACATAAATTCTCTCAGGCAAAAAATACTTTCTAACAGGAAGTATTTTATAAATATCTAATTTTCCCCCCTTGAACATGGGTCTGATCTAAAAATTTATACAACAAAAACCACACGAACCAAACAATAGCATACTCAATGGCCCCAGCTCCATTCACCTGTGGGATAGTTTAGTGAGAAGGGAAAATTTGGCCCTGTTATTCATACGCATGCCACCGTATTTATTATCTTTATTAAGAAACCAGTTTTAATGTGCTTGTCCATGGTCACAAAGCCTCTGGCAGCCTTTAACGGTTCCATATCGCAGGGCACCTCACTCCCAACCTGTGCACCATCCTCCACGGGTGCGGGAGGCCGAGAGACAGTCTCTGGGAGTTGGCAGCCTGACCGAGTCTCCAAAGAGGATGTGAGTAAACACACACTCACACACACGTGTGTGTAGGAATAAAAATGAGTCTCTTCATCCGATAGCATAACGTCTTGGTTTAATGTTACCCATGTAGGGAAACAGGAAAGAAATTAATGGATGAATTTATTATCACAGTTATTATCAAGTAACCGCAAGACAGGTCTTGTTTCATGACCGGCACTAAATCTGGACTTGGCAGGATTTCATCACCAATGGGAAATCTGACAAGCAGGCAGAGAAACCAATAGGATTTTTAAATGTTTTTTGAATTACTCTTTCGATATTCAAAAACCAGTTTATCTAAAACACAGCAAATCTTTATCTTCTGTGCAAACTTGTATTCACAACTTATTTCCCATACACGTGGTAAATTAGCAAAGCATGCTCTAAATTTGCTGGCCTTTAATAAAGATAAATTCTTCCAGGAGATGGGAACCAGCTTTCCTTTGTAAATCCATTCTGGATTTCTTCTGGCCTGGAATCCAAACTAGGTGCCTCTCCCATTTACATGGAATTGTACGTGATGGTCCCTAATCAAGAAAATAAATCAAACAAGGAAGTCTTATATCTGTATATAGAGAGCCCCAGATTAGCATAATGCTATACTGGTTAGAAAAGGAAAACACATTTTTCCCTAATTTTCTTCATATATATGAATATAAGAAATATATATATATATATATGATATATATAGTCTGCATAAGTCTGCATAAAAGATCTCCTTACACATTAAGTGAATCCAGGGGGGAATTAGTCTGGCTGGAATGCTTGCTGGAGTTTTGATAATGAATTGCTGTGGCTGCATTTTGTGAGTTTCATGTTGGTTCTTCAAACTTACAAGCTAAGTCACCTAAAGAAATGGCTACAGCGCTAGCACAGCTCAATAAGAAAAGGGCCCCTAAAAGGACTCAGAGCTTAAAATGTGCAGAATATATTTGCATTAGTTGGTTTTTGAGTCCCATGTCATTTCTCTGATGTAGATGCCACAGGAATTGTTCTCCATGCTTTACAAGGAAAGAAATGCCAGAAAGACGGTGAGTGGCTTGCTCTCGACCAACTGTACCAGTGGTGACAGGTCACAGCTAGGACCTTGGGCTTGCCTCGTAGATGCTTCAGACACACGCAGGAGGTCTTTGGAATCCACCAAGAGGTAACAATCATCTGTGTGCTTCATCTCAGCATCCCTAGCTTTTAGTCTGGAATAGGTGCTCAAAAAACAGCTGCTAAATAAATGAAGATACCAGCAAATTGCAATGAGCAGAATAGACCAGTTATGGCCATGGTGTGCTGCACTCTGAGGTCTCCTCCCCACCTACAGCAGTCTCGCCCATCATCACCCACATGGCCAGTTTCAGAAAAGCTGACGTGTTACGGTCTCTGTCATAACACGCAGGCCTGCTGTTTCTTCCAGGGAATCGGATTCCCAGGCGTCCGGCATCTGCTCGTTCATGTGTGCTGTGTGTGAACAGACTGTGACATGGACCACACTGGAGGCTGTAATACTCATTAGCAGTTACTTCCATAGCATTTGCATTCAGCCAAACAGAAGTGCTAAAACACATTTGCACCCAAGCGACTATAGGTCCATCAGTTAAACGTCAACAGGAAGTATCAGACAGGGATTAACGTATTATAAACGCTAAGCAAAAAATCATTCTGAGTTCATGAGCCTTCAAGATGGGGAGACAATAGCTGCACTCTCTTCTTATGTATGGCTCAACAATATGTAATATGCAGTTCCATTTCCTGAAAGGTCCACTGGTCAAACACTGTAGAAACTGAACTGTGTGCAGTAGACAACATATTTGGCTGGAATTTTCACTGTTAATAGACTTCACATGGCAAGATGGAAGTTTGAAGGTCTTTACCTGAGGCTGGTCTCATTTTCATTTAGCATATTGCTAACCCCATTACCTAAAGGTAATGCTATTAGGTAATGAACCATAAGTTTAAGGTGGGTTGTACAAATAAAGAAAGGTATCTGAGATGAATGATTCCCACATTTATATAAAAACTGAAACAATCCATTCCTTTATTAAATCTATAGACCATAGTCAGAAAAAACTTTTTTAAAAGTAGCTTGTAACAAAGATGGTTTTAAATAGACATGTCCTTGCTCAATAGTCTAAAGCTTTGGCTCTACCACCATGCATGCTTATGCACCCAATCCTAAGCATGAGCTAAGAATATTATAACACACAAATCTCTACCTCGCCCACCATTAGAATTTTAAATCCCAGGTTAAGACTAGGTTTCTAGTTGACTACAAATTTCAGTGGGATTTGGAAAGATCCTTTAAATAGATTTTTATTGGTTTTTAAGAACAGGGTTATTTTGTGTTAATAATGGGCATACATTAGGCTTTAGATAATTGCTTTATGTAACTTAGAGTTTTGAATTTCAGCTAAATAAACACTCTGTGTGTTCACAGGTGTATTGTCCTCAAGGGCTCTCTGCTTTTAAGGGTGGCAGCTGTTGCCAAGGTGTTGCTGATACAGTTCTGCATATAATTTATTGGAAACAGGTGCTGGCTCATGATGAAGATCGACAGGAAACTAAAGCAGACAACATGTTTAACCACCATTTAAAAAGTTCAGGTTCAGAGAGACAATGTGTCTGAGATGTTTGGGAGATGCTGCCAGCATCCCAGTGCAAGTTTAAAAGCTCCTGCAAATCACCATAAGGAAGAAATTGTGCATGAATTTCAAGCAGCCCAGCCTCATGAGTGCCTGCTATGCTGCCAGGTTTAATTGATTACATGAGAAATTTTTAGTTTGTGTAAGGCTGGCAAAAAACTATAAAATACTTTCCTAAGCTAATTGTTAAAAATTACTTTCAAATGAGGTAATAACTGTTAGTTTTCAATGATCTGGACAGTGGATTAGGCTATAATGGGTTTCTTTATGCTCCAAGTGTTTGCTGCGGATTGTGTGTCTTGGTCCTTCAGTGTGGGGAAGAGCCCAGGGTTGGTGGATGATGAGACGGGAGACAGGATCTGGCTCGCCCTTTTCCTTTGGCTGTTGCCAGGCTGTGGAGCTGGTGGCTCCATAGCTCAGCGATGGCTGTCAAGTTCAGTGTTTTCTGGCAATGGCCTGGAGCCTTCCCACTCACTTATCCCTCAGCCCAAGCCCTTCTTCCCCAGTGAAAGCGAGGAGACATATCAGCTCATGCTCCACGAGGCACTCCTCCCTGTGAACAGACATTTGTATGTTTTCCGAACTAATCTCGAGTCTAATCGGCATGCCACATAATACACATGTGCAGCAAATATGCATACTAAATACAGCCGAAAAAGAAGTTGTCAGAAGTGCATGCACAGTTTTTCAACCTCAAAAACCTAAATATCTTGGCCATTTACATGTTTAAAAAATACCCACAGGCATTAGACCACATAACGGACTAATGGCCTGCCAAATTTCATTTTTGGGAAAAGAATCCATGTTTGAGTTATAGCACACGAGTGTTAAAAAAAAAAAAAGCAACTGAAACAACAAAATTTGGTTAAAAACACTTTTTGATCCCAGGCTCAGACCTTGTATGCCAAAAAATGTTGACAAAACTTTATACCAACACCAGCAGGCATGTACAGTTTAATATCTGCTTTCTGTGAAAAATCATTGACAATTTAATGCTTGCATTCATTTGAAAGAATTTTATGCAGTAGGTAGAAACTGTTACATTACCATTTCTAATCTCTACCAGCCATCCTGTTCCATTCTCAAAGGGAAAGTGACTGACAGGGCTACAAAAACCAAATCTGCTAAAGGGCCCCGAGCAGCTGCTTTTATCACTCTTCCAATAGCCCCATCCTGGCCTGAAATGCAGGAATTTGGTTTGCATGCTGCTCAGAGCCTTCAACGGAGGTTTAGCATAGGAAAGCAAATAGCTGATGTAAAAATAAACCTTTTATTTAAAAAAAAATTTTATAAGGCCCCTTTATTTAGAGGGAGACTCACTCAAATAAATACACCGTTAACAAACTTGTATAATGAATAATAATATATACTGTAGCAAGTGATGAAATGGAATCCCACAAAACAAGTGCTGAAATCTGATGATTGATTACCAAACCTATAGGATAAATAAACCTCCTCCAATTAATAGCTAGTCTTGGGGATGAGTTTCTATAGAAATACCCCATAAGGAAAAATAGCAATCACAAAAGTTCAAGGAAAGTCAAATTCTGAGTTTAGCAGGACTGGGTTTAAATGCAGCACTCTTTCCAGCATAGTTATGAGTTTGGAGGTTATAACAAGATGAGTCCAAGTGACTGATGGAGAAATGTGCTTTCTCCATCTGAGCTGATGAATTATCTGGGCCATTTGGGACCCACGCATCTTAAGTATCAGAAGAAGCTATTTTTAATTTATTAAAAAGGGAATTGAGAACCAACCTGGTTTCCTTGCATGTGTTTCTTGCCAACAAACCAATGAAAGCATCCATTCAGAGATTTTTATTTTCTAACTTCGGTCTACATCCTTATTCTTCTCTCTGAGTCAATGCAGATAGCCTGGTCAAACGCTTTTTATTGATTTTGGAAGGGAGCTGACTTTAGGCTTGTAACCAGCCATGTTCTGATGTCTGGGCCACAGAGTTATGGGGAATGAGGACTAATGGGCAATCCCGGGTGGGCGGCCGCACGCCTACAGCTCTCCCTGTACATCATTTAGCAGGATCTTCTTTTTGAAGAGATGGAAGAAACATCTATCCAGGAGCCCATGAATGCTGCTTTGTGACTGTGTTTTTATGCCTGATCTTGAAATACAGAAGTTTCCACTGAAACAACCATACCTGTTAGACTTGCACAATGAATGTCAGGGAGAATAAACCTTACATACCTGTCGGTCCATGCATCCAACCATGCATCCTAACTGTGTACTGCCTGCTTATTTCTTCCCATAAGGACACCCTTAATTCTACTTTCTACAGGGGTGGTGTGTTAGGTGTGTATTTTATTTCGATACTTTGACATTTTGGGGCCTTGCCAACACTGGAAAGGACTGCCCCTCCCAAGGCTAGCTAATCTCTACAGATAGCAAACAGCCTTGGGAAGGCTACCTTCCATACGCAAACTGACCTAAAGAAGCGGTATCCCAACCAGCTTCTGTCATCAGGCTGTCACAGGGACCTCAAACCTGAGCCATTATCCTCATACTCCAAACACTTCCAGGGCTTGGAGGCACCAGACAACTGAGGGATAGCTCCTCTGCCCGAGAGGCCACTGAAACTATTCAAACTAGCCAATCCTAAGCATGCTTAGCCAGCTTAGCCTGCCTCACCCATTCCTTCTGCAAAAACCATGATAAAGACCCTTACTCACGGTCCCTTGTCTCCTGACCCACCCTGGTGCTTCCCTGTGTGGCCTTCCCTGTGTGGCTTCCCATGGCATGCCCCTTCCTCTTTAGAATTCTCAGTAACAAATGCTCTTTTCAGTGGCAGGTGACTCCTGAGCTGTTTGCCCAACCATACCAATAATAACAAAACCTAAATTTTAAAACAGGGAATAAACATACATTCCTCAGAGCCTCAATGCAGTTCTAGTAGAATGGAATTAGCCTGGAGATCGGAGGTCCTTATTATACCACAGGCATAACCAAGTGGTTTTGGCCAAACCATTTGATCTCCCTAAGGTTAAATTTCCACTTCCACCAACATAGACAATTCCCACTTCGCTGAAATTTATAAGGCCACATGGGTTTGCACATGTGAAATATCCAAGCATGTGCTAGCAAGAGTGTCAAATCTGATGTCCCTTCCTTGTCTTGTCCTTCCTTACTCAAATTTTATAAACCCCGCTGTAGCATACTTTCTCTGTTTGTAATCCCTGTGGAGCTGGTGGAGACCACTGGAATTTCCATTTTTCAGCCTCGTATGAGGAATACAATGGAGGGTAGTCACTGAAGGCACAGAAACAGCGTCAGATTTCATTTGGCTGTGTGGTCATGAGAAAATTGCTGTTCTTCTCTGTGCCTTGGTTTCCTGATCTGTGAAATGGGAATAACTCCCTTCCTCATAGGAAGGAGATTTTTACAACCAGTACCAAACCTAAAAGGTTCAGGAAGTGACTACACTGGAACATCTAAATAGGTTGTAAACAACTTGAT